TGGATATAACTCTAGATATACAACAAATAACCTTCCTTACGGCCAAAACGGAAGTATCCATGACTTGGATTATACAAATGCGAGCAATATCATGATAGTCAATGGTGGTTCCGCAATACCCAAAATTTCAACAACTCACCAGCGAATGACATGACTATTATTGGCAGTCAAGTTAATAATACGAGCAATGTTAACGCTGTTAATTTGAATTCAGGTGGCAATATTGCCGCTTCCACCAATGCGGGAAGCGCCGGTAACAATATTGGTAATAATGACAACAGAACTAAGAAGAAAAGTGTATCGTTCTGTGATCAAGTTATTTTGGTTGCAACAGCGGATGAGGACGAGGAGGATGGTTTTATACCGAATCCGATTCTGGAAAGGGTTCTTAGGTCTGCAAATGGAATTCAAACAGAAGCAATACGCTTGCAAACACAGCAGGCTTTAGCTAGACAGGATTCCAGGGAAAAACTTTTGCAGCAGGAGGTACAATATAACAATCCACCGGCAGCGTATCAACAGCAACCAATGCAGTTTCATAATCAGTACTATAATCAGAATGGAAGGCCACAAATTATGAATCCCTACCAGCAAGTCCCATCACCATTGACGATTCAAGCTCAAAAGGCTCAAATGAATCAACAAGTTTATCCTCAACAACAAAATCTTAATATTAGTGTACCATACAAACAGCAACAAATCCCTCAGAATTATCAACGTGTCCCACAACCGCACGTAGAAATGCCAAACTATATCGACACCCAGGCTGCAGTAATGAATCCGTACCAGCCGGTACCACAAAAGCATCCAGTTGGAAATTATCCACCACAAATGATTCAACAACAAAACGGTAACCAGCAGCGGAAAAAATCAGTAAGTTTTGAGCCAGGAACGAAAGGCGGGTGCGATTCTCCGACGCCCAAAATAGCAATAGCAACAGTTAATACGAACACCGCTATTGTGAAAGCTTCAGCAAAGGCAGTCATCTGCAACTTGTGCCGGAAAAAGCACGTGGTGGCGCCGAACGTGTATTGTGGTGACTGTGATTTCTACATGGCCCGATTTAGGCCTAGGACTTGAAAGTTTTAATTCATAAGTATATATTTAAATTTTTTAGCATAAATATTTTTAAGCATCACTGTGATTTTTGTTCACAGATGAAATGGAGTTAAAAATTATTTTATCGACACATCAGAACTGATACCTCAGGTATGATGTTAATTTTTAATTTTTGGTGCATGATAATGCAAAAATCCGTCTTCCTTTGAACTAAATCCAAAATAAAATTTATCATATTTTTTAAAATCATTATCGTGCATATGTTTGATAATGATTTTGAAATGTTATGTTACTTGAATATGTCTATAGAGAGTTCTGTTTATATAAATAGTATTTTGTTAACAAAAAGATTATGATGTTTAATAGATACACAAACACCAAAATTAATGCTATATGATATTTATTCTGATGAGTGTAAATTGTCTTCGAAGTTTTATAAGTTGATCAAGTGTTGTATTTATATTTTTAAGAAAAGAAACTTGTGATATTTCTTATTTAAGTATAGTAATAAATATATATGTATGTTATATTAGGGAAATAAATTTTCATATAGTTCGTGCGCGATCTCATGTATTTTACGATAAATTTTATTAAAGAAATATTTTATAATTTTATATTGTATTTTTAAAATTTTATATGCATTTTTAATAAAAAGATTTTTATGAAATAAAATATGGTTTTGTACTTGAATTTCTTTGATTGTATTATAATGATAATCGAACATTATTTTTCACAGTTTTTTAATGCTTTTTATATATAACGTTCCTTACATTTTGATTTTGATATTGAAATCTTATTATTATTAACTGATTATTATAGCCAGAATTTAAAGAACTTCAAAACAAACAAACAAATTATCATGTATACAATTGTACGTTATAAGATTTAATTTCTGAAATATTTATATTTAACTAGCAAACCCGACGAACTCCGTTTCGCCACCAGATGGTTTCGTGAGAAAGATGAAAAAATTTTTGTTTGTTTTATATTTGAAAAGGAAAAATTTTATTTTATTACACAACAGTAATGAATTAATTTCGATTACAAAAATTAAGTGTTTTTTAGTTGAACTTCTCTAAGTAAATGAAAGTGAATCTGCAAATTATCCGTTTCATTAAAGTGCTGTTTGGTAAACCATATTTTTTGTTTTTTGGTCTGACGTTAACACAAACAAAGCGGATGGTTTTCCAGTTAGTGAACAGGCAACGTATAACTGCCAATGTGAAAAACAATGATTTTCTAAATAATCTATTTAAAATTTATCCCGCAAACACTAAGCGATTGGCTATTTGAAATTTATCCCGCAAACACTAAGCGATTGGCTTTGCGACTTGTTAATTGTCAGTGCGAACGCAAGGCAAACTGGAAATTGCAATCTTTTGAAGTCAAACGGAAGACCAGTCGGAATTATTGGTATATCATCAATTCGCCAGCAATATTTGATTGAATGGTGAAATTCAGTGCGTGTACATCATTATTCTTTGCGGCAAGAATTGCTAGTTGACTTGACCAAGCATAATTCTGATAACTCTCACTAATGTCATTACTTGAATTTTTAATTACGGTGCGTGAAGTTCCAGCAACTTGCATTAATGCACCACTAAATTTCTTAGCTATAAACCCTGCGGAGCCCGAGACCTTTTCAACAAATGCAAAATTGTCGAAATCGGTTCTGGAGTTATTTGTCGTTCTCGAGTTATTTCGTCAGGAAGGAAAACCCGACTTATTTTTATATATAAGTAGATAACACACAAAACTTATCTTAAACGTTGTTTTGACACTCAGTCGTTTTATACATAAATTTTAACCTCCAAAACGGCACAAATATCAAATAGCAATTTTCTGATGTATTTTTGGTATCTATACATGAAGTTTAGGGGGCGTCCATTAATCACGTGAGATTTTTAGGGGGAAGGGGGGTTGACAAAAAATCACAAAAAATCAGGTGGGGTAGGGAGGGGTATAGTAAAATATCACATGTATTTATTTTCTAACAGATTTTTTGTTTAAAATCAACCATTTCCAAAAAAAAACAAAAATTTTACAGTAATATCACGTAACTAAAAATACACTTGATGTTTGGTGGCGGAGGGGGGGGGGTAATTTTGAATATCACCTTTAATCACCAAGGAGGGAGGGGAAATCCAAAAATCCTTAAAAACTAGCTCACGTGATTAATGGACGCCCTCTTAAACTAAAATATGACATTCTCTACAGATTTGTGCGGTTTGGAGGTTAGGTTTTATGTGTAAAATACTCAATCGCACAGCAAATACATACTAGGATTAAAGATACTACTCATACAATCAGGGCCGGTTCTGCCTTGCATGCAAAAAATGCGGGCGCACACCTTAGGGGGCGGCAAAGCGAGTTTCTAAAATTAAATTTTTGATATATTATTTATGTTTTTTACTATTTATATAAAATATAGAATACTCAATAAATTATAATAAACAATCAAAATTAACTAGGGATACGGAGACACAAAAAGCATATTTAATTTGCAACGTGATATCAGTAGAAACAATTAACCGATTAATAACTTTGTGAATTAATAAATACCAGCTCTGTTTATTGCTCAATTTACTTATTCAATTTTTGATTTGTTTGAAGTTACTGTGAAATCGAAAAAGGAATTATATGTGTTCAATCCCGTAAGCGCAAACCTACAAAAGAATAAATTATTTGGCATTATTGACGAAAAATTGCGAGATGATTTATTTAAAACGGAACTTGTTAATAAAAATAGATACAAATTATAATAGAGAACAATTAAAAATAGGGATTTAGTATCTAGAAGTTGTAACTTTTATTTTTGCTGGAAATGTTTCGCATCTGATAAATTTTGAACGTTGAAGACATTCGTGATTAGGGTTATGGAAATGGAACAAATATGAGAAATGGAAGCAAAAGTTACTTTGGAACGATTATTAACTATGCAGAAATACATATCAAATATAATTAGTTTTTTTCCAATATAGGTCAAGAAATGTGTAAATTCTTTGCATTTTTACTGATTTTTGGACAATACTTCAAAAATACGTTAAAAATTTAACTTTAAAACAACAATCTGATACTTTGAATGTGCCGAGAAAGCAAGGACGAATACAATTCGGCTCTTACGATATAAATAAGGAGAAGTTTACGACGTAATTTTGAATATTGTAAATAATAAAAAATTAAATTAAATTGAAATTTAAAAATCTAGCATGAAATACGAGTGTTACGAAAATGAAAAGCTAGTTTTTTTTAGCTCTCTTGACATGATTTGCTCAATAGACTAAATTGCATAATAAATAAGTAAAATGTTTCAAAACCCAAATATTAATGTTGTACATACGTTAAAAATAATTGAAAATGTAAAAGTAATTGATTATAATCAACCCGCGAATCGCCTCGATTTTCTAAATAAATTTAAAATCAATATATCTTATACGCTTTTAGATTAGATCTATTTGTTTGTGTACTATATCCACAATAATCAAAAATAAATTTTAAAAAAATGTGTAAATATTCATATAGTCTTAACGATAAACTGTTAAAACATTTAAAATCAATAGGGGGCGCTAGAAAAAAAGTTGCATGCGGGCGCTAAGGACCCCAGGACCGGCCCTGCATACAATTAAAGACCCGTAATATAAAATTTTTCTATTTCATCCGAGAATCGGCCCCACTTTTATCTATCTTGCATCTATCCTTGAACAGAACCGTTTAGTTCGCGATTCCGCCCGCAGATGGCCGCAGCAATAGACCGGCCGCGGCACATGCGCGTGTCCCCACACGTCACTCGCCTGTCGCTCGTACCGTTTGTCGCTCTGCCGTCTTGTGTCGAGTCGATTCGTTTCGTAATGGCGGACGTGCAAGTGTCAACCTCAACATTATTATTGTGATTTTTGTGTGAAAACATACATGAAAACATCTTTTAAAACTCGTAAAAAACAATGAATCAGCCGGGTATCCTACCGAGTTACCAGCGCTCGGTGACCGGCGTGCCCGTCCTCAATTTCGCTCGACGTTCGTTTCGTCAACGCGAAAAATGTTTGATAGGACTTGTTTTTTTAACATTTTGTGTCGTGTGTTTCGGTGGTTTTTTCTTCCTTCCAGAATTTGGTGGCGTCCATAATGTTTATAAGTATTACCAGCAAATTCAGCAACCTATTCCAGACCTATTAATACCGGCTCCGCCTCTGAGTCACGACACTCATAAAGATTATAGGGTTCAGGACGATCGTGCTAAACTTTTAGAAAAAATTAATCAGGATAGCGAATTGAGGGTTCTAGAGAGGCCCGAGTTACCTGAGAAGGAAAAACAGGAGCCTCCATTGAGGGCACCCGAACTGCCTGGTGTTAGTGAGCCTGTCCTTGCGCCCCCGAATAAATTACCATCAGCTCCTACGATAACCAACGGAGAGGATTCGGATCCTGAAACCAGAGCCCGCAGGATAAAGTCAAAGAGGTAAGTGAAGTCTTAACACTTTGGGGACGCCTGTCCACCTCAGTGGACAAGCATACTCTGTAAGGCACAGGCTATTGTATAAACAATGACTCAGTTTGCATCGAAAAGTTGAATAAATTACATATAGCAGTGATAAACAGTATTGTATTTTGAAAATAATTTTAAATTATTTTAGTAGTATTTTTAGCCTTTTTCTTTGCTATATAGTCCTTTTTTTTAATATTTAAAACGACCGAGCGCTTTTAAATATGGCAAAACGACTAGTAAATTTTGTGAATTAAGCAGTAGTGAAGATGAGTTTCAAATAGACATTCATACAGACAAATTTTACGAAATTACTATTCGCACCGAAGATAGTGATGAATGTGATGATGATATTATCCGACTAACAAAAAAAAGAAGTTTGACAAATTAAATGAAGAGCGGAAAGACATTAGCGAATGTGCCGATTCTCCTTCAATAATCGAGTTTGGCATACATCAACAAACACTCCTACTACAAATACCAAGCAATATAAGACATTCAATAGATTATTTTACTTTATATTTTATAAATGAATTATTAGACAATATAATAGAAAAAATAAACCATTATTACAGCAAAAAAATGACCAAATATACTGACTAATCAGTGGCATATTCTAAATTCTAAAAGAAAAAGGGATTGTATTGTCTGTACTGACAGAAAAGCACCAGGAGTAAGGCGGCGAACAACATTTTATTGTAAAACATGTCAAAATAAACCAGCAATGTATTTTGGAAATTGTTTTGAACGTCACCATACTTTATAAAATGATCAAAAATAAATTAATATTAAAAATGTATGTCCTTCAATGACCACAATTTTTTATCAAACAAATTGCATAACATACACAATGAAGTCAAGTTTACAGCCGGTAAAGTAGATTGTTTTGAAATTGGTGCCGTCCCGAAAGTGTTAATTCGGCAACCTACTAAACAATTGTCTACCTAAAAATCTGTTCTATATATTGTTTCGCTCTTTCTGTTTTATTGTGATAAAATTCTTCCCAGGCCAATCCCTCTTTGATTAATTGAAGAAAGGTAACATAATAGATTCATTATTTATCAACATTATTCAGTGCATTGATATAAAAATGCTAGACGTTTTTTGGGTTGAAGTTGCAGAGCGTACTTTACAACTATTCATGGTTATTAGTCTGAAAATAATTTTATAGTTTTTAGAAGGAATTTTCTTGTTAACTTTCCGTAGGGCAAGTTATAGTAATCGCAAACAAATCGAAAATGAAAATTTTTATATATTTTTACGTTTCAAAGGTTTCTGAACATTTTGGCATACCTTAGAAAAAATGGATGTGTTTGTGTGTGTATGTGTGTGCGTGTGTATGTGTGTGCGTGTGTATGTGTGTTCGGATACGCATTTTCGTCGACGATTTTGGGAACACGGATGAAGGGATTTAAATAATTCAAAAAACATTCGATTCGTATTGATAAGGAGACGTGCTGATTAGTTTTTGGCGAAGGCAGGTCTATTTCGGAGATCTAATGAAAAAAGTAAAAAAAAGCCATTTGGCGATCAAAAATGATCATTAGACATATGCACATCAAGATTTTAACAATAAATATACATTTTGTTTACATTCCTATGGGTTCCGTACCAATGTTTATCCGTCAGACAGCGACGCGGCGCTTACGCGCTTTATATTTTGTCTCTATGCAGTTAAAGCAGTACGATTGCTTTGAAAAAAAGTTCAGATCTTCTAAAATATGTCAAAATAAAGAAAACATATTTTTTTTCAAAAAAAAATTAAAAAAAAATTTTTTTAAAAAAAATTTTTTTCAAAAAAAAGTAATTTTTTGTCCAATTTATAGTTTCTCAAAAATCTAATTTTTTTGAAGTAAAATTTTTTCAAAAATGTTAATCGTTTTTAAAAAAATAATAATTTTTGGTACGGGAAGTTCCAGCAATTTGCCTTAAGGCACGATGCCTTAATTGCCTTAAGACAGAATTCCACTTACAGCTAGTTTCCTTATTAAGCGTGAGCAGTTTACACAAAGGTTACGTAAAGCAGATTTTTACTACAAAACAATTTTCGACTACTTCTTTTACCTTGTGAAAAACGTTTACCTGCGTCAATTTATGAATAAAAGGTTGCCCATTCATTCAATCCGTGTATATTGAAACATCGCATTCCTGAGGCATTCTTTTACTTTGCTGTGCCTGACTGATGCTATTTTTTGCAGCACTGTGAGTGCACATAAAAAAATAATAGCTTTATTTTGCGGTGAAACCAGAATTAGTAATGGCTTTATTTTTTGCTTTTGACGAAGCATTTGATGTATGAAAATTCCTCCTCGTCACGGCTAATATGTTGTACTAGAAAATTTTATTGAGAATAAAGATTCCAAATTAGAAACTTTAAAGATTAACAGAAGTTCCTTGAATAAATTGTCCAAAATCGTCATGTACTTTTGCTGACCAATTTCATGTGCATGTCCAAATTTTTTGTTTGTTTTCCAAAATTTTATCTTTATTGCTATTTTACAATTTAAAAATTTACCAAAGGCGGATTCAAAATTAGAAAATTTAAAGAAAAGAATGTACTTTGAGTGAATTGTCCAAAATCGTCAAGATCTTTTACTGATAATTCTCAAGTTCATGTATGAATTCTTCGGAAACTAAATTTCCATTCTTTGACTTTCAAGATTAAATGCACGATTTAGCATGAATAAATTTAACATAGATATATCACAAACCTCGCAAACAATTAATTTAATCATCAAAAATATAAATGTTTTGGAAATTTCATATAAATTAGACACTTTTCAGCAAATTCGTTATTTTTATTTGTTATTACAAATTGAATTGTTTGTTTACTTTATTGAAATTAAATTTTACTAACCAAATCAAATATTGATACATTTTGATAATTTTTTAATTGGGTTCGCCCGCTGGTTAGTGGTTCGAGCAATGGGATTTGAATCACAATCCCAGGTTTGAGACCACCTTGAGCAGTCTGATGTCAAGCAGTAGTGACATCGATTTTCACTTGAAGAAATAAAAAAAATCATCACTATTACAGAAATTGTAATAATACAAAAATGTAACTAGTGGTGTTTGGCATCGTGCCTTAAACCAAATTGCTGGAACTTTCCGTAACGAAATGTTCGAGGAATATTAAATGTTTTCAAATAGATTATCATAAATAAATGCTGTAACATCGTCTAATATTTATAAGAATTATATAAACAGAATTATTTATTTAAAGTATATAAGTGAGTTTTAGAACTAGTTAAACTAGCAAGCATTAAAATTAAAATTTGAATTATTTTCAATATACAAAAAGAATTTTTTTTGATAAAAAAATTCCAAAAGCAATTGTTTCGTCAACACTAGCAGAAAGTTCTTTGAATCATTTGAATTGGACGCTTAGTTCTTTCAAAAACTGCAATTTTTTGCACAATTAGGTCTGTATCTTTGAAATGGCTGGACCTGCCTTTGCCAAAACCTAATCACCTCTTCTCCCAATCATTACAAATTGAATGTTTTTTAGATCATTCAAATCGGATACTCCGTTCTCTCAAAAACTCGATTTCTATTTTCTGCACTCTTTGCTCCGTATCTCGGAAACGGCTGGACCTGCCTTTGCCAAAAACTAATGAGCACATCTCCCTATCAATAGGAATCGAATGTTTTTTGAACCATTCAAATCTGTTGATCCGTGCGCCCGAAAACGTGAATGAAAAAATGCGGATATACAAAACACACACTTCCATTTTTTCTGAAGTACGCCAAAATGTTCAGAAAACTTGAAAATGTGAAGATATGCAAAAATTTTCATTTTCGGCCTATTACTATAATAACCCTAGGGGAAGTTAATTAATGTTTACTTACAATTAGTGGCAACTGAAATGGATGTTTCTGCAGCAGAGCTTTTTAAAAAATTTCTTACTTTATATAAAATCTCTATTTTTTCAAGTGATATATTAAATATATTTTATTTTGCAATATTGAATTCAATGCAATATATTTATATAATTGTTACATTTTAAATTAATTTTAATGCGTTAATCGCCATGTCAGTTATTTGTGTCTGACGCTAAAAAGTTCTACACAAGCCTTATTAGACTTATAATAAATTGAGAATAAATGTTTTAATATAGGACTTTATATATGCCAGTCATATATGTGTTACATGAAAAATATATTTTTGCAGGAATCTTGAAAAAAAAATCTTCGAAATTGTATTATTTTACTAAAAGTAATGTTGTTGGTATAAGAAAATTCAAACTCATATATCAATTTACGTGTGATCAGTACATCTCATACTTTAACCAACATAGGTGTGCCTTTTGTTTTTGTCATGGAATGTTTACGTGACTTAAATTCAGAGAATGCTATTTTTCAAAGGTATTCTTTAAAAATTGAAACAGTAAGGAGCCACTATTAAGCGTAATTGTTTTAAATTTTTTTGCGTAACGTTACTCTGGAGAAAAAAGCAGTACTTTCAAATTAAACTCCATTGAACATATTTAATAAATAAATAATTTAATCTATTTTATTAATATTTTTCCAACAATTGGTTTAATTAAATAATATTAATTTAGTAGATAAGTATTCATTATGCTTCTCCGGTGTTTAATTTTATTAATAAGATTATTATTTATAATGATAACTCAAATACTTTACCTTACATATTTTATGTATGAGCAGTTTCTTTATTGAAATCGTCATTTTACAATAATAAGTTTTGAATCGCTTGCAAATTTGTTATTCCACAAGTAGTGATTGACCTACTTGAAAACATACTTCATTTTATCGCTAACAACGGACAAATTTAATATCTTATCTTATTGCTTTAAAATGTTATGTAATTATCTCTACAGATTTATTGGAGGCAGGGTAAGCAAACTTTTTGTATGGTCTATTTTAAATATTTAATGTTTTTTTAATGTACTGCCATTCAATCTACAAATTGAAAAAAATAATACATAAGAAATAGTGAAGTTAGAAGTAAATTG